ATGACTTCTGTGGTGTTCGGGTCATTTGTGACCCGGTTAAAATTTTCTATTATAAAACAATAAAAAATGCCCAAAATTAAAACATGAACACACAGTCAACCAACAGCCTCTTCCTCCAACCACTTGAGCTTCATTTAGGGGCTTTTCTCTTTGCCTTTTTGCAAGAACAAACAAAGGGAGACATGTCCAGGCTTGTCAAGCCATTTGAGTGTAGAGGTGGTGACTTGCAGAGTACACATCTCCAATTCACAGGATGCAACAATGAGGAGAAGATTAACTGTAAATTAAGCTTTGGATCACATTTTTGCTGCAAATGAGGCAGAGGACACACAGGATTTTAGCGATGGAGATGAGCAGGCCTCTGAGAACGGAGATGATGTGGAGTACCAATTGGAAGAAACAGACACAACTGATCAGTCTGAAGAGGAGGTCACTGGTGCTGAAGCTGCTCCTGCTGAATCATTCCAATCCAAAAGTGGCAACATCCGGTGGAACACAGTTCCTCCTGATGTTCATGGAAGGACAGCTGCTGCAAACATCATCAAATGACCCCTGGGGTCACGAGGTTTGCTGTGACAAGAGTAAGTGACATCGAGACGTGCTTTGATCTTTTTTTGCCATTGTCACTAAAAAAAGTCATATTTGCTATGACAAACCTTGAGGGAAAAAAAGTCCATGGCAACACATGGAAAGACATTGATGGGATACCTGGATGCCTACATTGGTGTTCTCCTCCTTGCTGGAGTTTACAGATCAAGCAATGAACACACTAAAAGTGTCACTTTTTGCAACACATGCATCTAAACACACACATACACACACACACAGGCGTGTTCTTTGCACAGAGTATTGATAGAACAAGAACTTGATTCTTTTGATGTGATTTTCTCGATTGGTTTTTGTTTATTTATTTGCAAATCTTTGTTTTATTGTAAATTATTATTATTTATGACTGTTCTGTTTTTCATACTGTTAAATATTGTTTTAAAGTTCTATTGTGTGGGAAAAAAAGACTTGTTTTTGCCCTTTTCTTGAAGCAAATATATACGGGTCCAAAATGACCCGAAACACCATAGACGTTACTATATTTGATGATATTAAAATTAAAATCTTTTTTTTGTTGAACATTTAAAGAATTTGTTTTAATATCTCTCAGTTAGACTCAGGTAACAGAACAACTGATTATTTTGTTGCCTTCTACTCTTAAGGTTCATTTGACCACTTTTATGACATTGAAAACGAGGGGTATGCTGTTAAAACAAAGGCCCAGGGGGCCACAAAAAAATATTAATACCAATCTTTTCATGGATAAGGGAGCCCAACCAGCTAAACAAGAGTTAAGAAAACATTGGATGATAAAATATTGTTTTTAGGGTATTTTATGGCTGATTTAATACACGGGTCCAAAATGACCCGCTAACACTACAGATGGCAGCAGAAAGCTAATACCAGAGGAAGGTTAATACTGGCAATGTAGAATATATATATATATATGATTTTAAGTCAGAATTGGCTCTACTACAACCTTTATAAGGAAGTAAAGCTCGTGACAGTGACAGCAGCAACAGCACTGCATTCACAGCATGTTGAATATCCTGCCTGATGTTTTACAGTAGAGTAACTAATTATATGATTTTGGGGCATTGTATCATTACTTTCCAAATGAGTGAACACACCACTGCGCTGGTGTGCCTCTCCAGAGTGTGTGCATGTCTGTGAGTTTGGGCACGCTCCATAATGTCGTGTCCCGCTTTTTTTTTTTTTTTTCTTTTTATTCATCTCCTCTCTGGCTCATGTTTACGTGGATCCTCCCCTGTCCTACTTACCTCAGAAACCAGAGGAATATGCATATTGGGTCATAAATGAAAAATTGGTAGCTGGATTAACACTAGAAGCAATTAATCTTTTTCTGCTTCATTTTCTCTCTTTCTTTCTCTTTATATCTGCCATGAATATTATCAAGAAATAATTTGTAGTCTTTTTCTTCCTTTAAGGATGTGTTTTATTCACGTTGTTAAAAATAGCCATTGCTTGATAAATCATATTACTTATTAGTAAACCTATGAGGAGGGCCAGATCTAAATATGAGGGATTAGGATATAGTAGAGTGCAGGGATAGAGTAAAAGATATGCATAATGAATGCATTGGGCTGTTCTGAACTCTAATCTAATTCACATGAGCACAGTAACGTCAGCATCTCCTGACTTTAAGCAGTGTGTAGTGTGAAAACTGCTGTGA